GGTTTATAGGGAAATAAAATAAATCGGATGTTTTTTTGATTATTTCTATCAACTTCTATAGAAAAAAATGAAAAATGTAAATTTCTTCGCCAATTCCATTTTTACGTTCTAGAAGATTTTTTTTTAAAATTTTTCTTTTGATTGCTTTATATTTATTCGTATCTTGATATATTCTTTCAGTGCTATAAACTTTTGGATAATATAGTTCAATTAGACCAACAATATATTTGTTTTTGTCAATTGTATAATATTTTTTCTAATAATAAATACTATCTAATTCTTCAAATCTACCATACTTTTTTTCTAATATTTTTCTTGCTTTTTCTTTTGTAATATCGTGATTAAATTCAATTTCAAACTTGAAATTAAAAAAATCTTCAGGTAATCTACGATGAAAAATCATTCGAATTTTACAACAAGAATATTCTTCTTTATATGGTTTTTCATTATCGTTTCTAAATTTCTTAAATTCTACAATATAATCTAATCGATTAACAAATGAACTAAATAATTTTGTATTATTAAATTTCTGTTCTGATGTAGGTTTTAATTCTTCATCTTCACAAAAATCATAAATAAATCTAATATTTGTATTTGCAGAAAATCTAATTACTTTAGGCAAAAATTCTCACTTCCACCTTTTATTTGAACACTATATTCTTTTGGATCAAGAAGATTTAAAAGTTCTAAATATTTAATCTGGTCTTTGAATTTGTTAATTAAAACTTCTTTATATGAACTATTAAAATCTTGCTAAAATCTTCTATCTGTGCTTCTACATTTATATGCATTTGAAAAAAGTAATGAAAATAAATAACCTTTTCCAACTTGACTCTCGTCACTATAAAAAAATATTGTTGAGGGCTTCCAACATTGTTTATTTTTCTTTTTTTCAATATTTTTATAGCTTGACATAAAGTATAAATATGATTTGTGTTATTTTCTACCTATATTGGATTATCTTGTACATTTTCAACAATAATCTCATCACCAGATTTGTTTTTAATAAATAAATTGTCTATTATTTTTTTAGATGAATTTTCTTTAATATATTGATTAATTCCATTAGGGTTGTTTGGTTTTTTTTTATAATTTTCTAGTATATAATAGAATGGTCTAGATTCAGAATCATATCTCGCAAAAGTACGTTGAGAGCAATATTCAAGTATACACCAGGCACAATTTGCAAGATTATTTAAATTTTATAAGAGCATCTACATAAAGTTACAAGAATCTTGTTTTCTGAATTATTATTATCTACTATTTCTAAAACAGCTCCTTTAATTTTGCATCTTGAATCATTTCTATCAACAGGTTTGCGATGATGTTTTTTACATTTATTGTAATCTTTTTCAGAATATTCTCTTGAATCTTTTTTACTTCGAACTAGATCATGATACCATTTCTGAAATGCATTGTTAGTTTGTAATTTTTCATAGATACTGGAAAGTCTTGCTTGATTTACTAAAATGAAAAATGCTTAAATATGACAATCACGTTCTTGTATTGCTTCATAATTTTTCTTATATTGGTAAACAAATTCTCTGAACGGACAAGTTTTAGGGTTATTAAAAAAGTTTTTAATTAAAAGATCAAATTGTTTTCAATTAAAATAATAAGAATTAAAATTAAGTCTCGTGATTCTGTTATCTGTTTTTGTCATTTTAAATATCTAATAAAATTATCTGACTATCTATAGTTAGAATATTAGTCTTTATATATAATTTTTAATATGTCAAATGAACTGACTTACTATAAGAGTCATAGAATTGCTAAATTAATTTTTTTATAATGTACTTTATACCTGATTTAGAATTACTAAATATATAAATTCTAAATAAGGTTAAATTGTAAATATGATTATATATTTTTTATATTGTATTTTATACTCGATTTAGAATTACTAAATATGTAAATTTTAAATAAGGTTAAATTGTAAATATGATTATATATTTTTTATATTGTACTTTATATCCGATTAGGAATTGCTAAATGATTTTCTATATGTTTAAAGAAAATATCTAGATACGACATGACACTAAAAAACGTCTGATTTTTTTTATTTTTCTATAAACCCATAGCGAAATTTTACATACTATTAGGGGCATGTGTTAAGAACTGCCAGAAAAAAATTCAACTCATTTGAATTGGAATTGGCGAAGAAATTTACATTTTTCATTTTTCTCTATAGGAGTTGATGGAAATAATCAAAAAACGTCCGATTTATTTTATTTCCCTATAAACCCATAGCAAAATTTACATACTATTAGGGGCATGTGTTAAAAACTGCCAGAAAAAATTTTAACTCATTTGAATTGGAATTGCCGAAGAAATTTACATTTTTCATTTTTCTCTATAGAAGTTGATAGAAATAATCAAAAAATGTCCGATTTATTTTATTTCCCTATAAACCTATAGCAAAATTTTATATACTATTAGGGGCATGTGTTAAGAACTGCCAGGAAAAATTTCAGCTCATTTGAATTGGAATTGGCAAAAAAATTTACATTTTTCATTTTTCTCTATAAGAGTTGATAGAAATAATCAAAAAACATCCGATTTATTTTATTTCCCTATAAACCCATAGCAAAATTTTACATACTATTAGGGGCATGTGTTAAGAACTGCCAGGAAAAAATTTCAACTCATTTGAATTGGAATTGCCGAAGAAATTTACATTTTTCATTTTTCTCTATAGGAGTTGATAGAAATAATCAAAAAACGTCCGATTTATTTTATTTACCTATAAACCCATAGCGAAATTTTACATACTATTAGGGGCATGTGTTAAGAACTGCCAGGAAAAATTTTAGCTCATTTGAATTGGAATTGGCAAAGAAATTTACATTTTTCATTTTTCTCTATAGGAGTTGATGGAAATAATCAAAAAACGTCCAATTTATTTTATTTCCCTATAAACCCATAGCGAAATTTTACATACTATTAGGGGCATGTGTTAAGAACTGCCAGGAAAAATTTCAACTCATTTGAATTGGAATTGGCAAAGAAATTTACATTTTTCATTTTTCTCTATAGGAGTTGATGGAAATAATCAAAAAACGTCCAATTTATTTTATTTCTCTATAAACCTATAGCGAAATTTTACATACTATTAGGGGCATGTGTTAAGAACTGCCAAAAAAAATTTCAGCTCATTTGAATTGGAATTGGCGAAGAAATTTACATTTTTCATTTTTTTCTATAGAAGTTGATAGAAATAATCAAAAAACATCCGATTTATTTTATTTCCCTATAAACCTATAGCGAAATTTTACATACTATTAGAGGCATGTGTTAAGAACTGCCAGAAAAATTTTTAGCTCATTTGAGCCAGAATTGGCAAAGAAATTTACATTTTTCATTTCTTCTTATTCTTATACTATTTTTATAATCTGTCTAAAAAATTTTTCTGGCCCGAATTGGAAGTGTCTAGGTTGATCATTGGGCAAAATTATAATTTGTATTAGGCCAGAGATCTGCAATTTTGGCCTAAATTAAGAGTGTTTAGTGTCTATGTCTATATTTATAAAGAAAAAAAAAATTTATAAATCATTTGTCTATAAATTAGACACTATAGTTAATTATTTATATACTAACTACTATTAATATGTCTAATATTGTTTTTTTTTTTTTTTTGGTGTTAAGGTGGCCTCTTGGCCGGCTCCTTTTATTCGGTTATAGTTAACTTTTACAA